AAGTTGTCGGCGGCGTAAAACTTCCAAATTTAACAAATATGACGTGTATCACAAAAGACGATAAAGTTAACTTAAACATCGTATGAAGATATTTAATCAGAATCCATCAGAACACCATCCATTTGGTTTAATTTAATTTGAAGTTTGTGTGTTTAACACGATTGCATTAATATCAATGCTTCAAAGTTAACAATCCAAGTTCTACACCATGTCATCAAGGAAAAACAATTCTATTTAATACTTTATTTACATTCCAATGTATAATTGGTACTTAAGATAAGTATTCTTTCATATATTTTTTTTATTTTTATCTCAATTGGATGTCGGCATCACCGTCTGTGTGAAAAACGAGAGTGCAGACACATACTTGACCATATCAAGTATCTTCCTTATTGCTTGAAGAATGCACTTTTAACTTTACATTTATGTTCCGCATGGTCATCTATATCAACTTGACAAGTTTCATTGCAACGGCATTTATATTTCAAGACATCCGTACACTATCCACTACCCCACAGGTTTTGAAATTATGCTTTCTTACTATATTTTGTCGAACGGTTTATCACTTTAATGATTACGTAATGTGTGCATTTTGTTTGATTTTTCTTTTAATATAGCTATATAAAATTGGTGTCCCTGGCATCGCTTCCAGGAACAGACTTTCGCCCGGTATACATACAAAGAAGTGTATTAGACTGCGAAAAAAATCAAATGTATAAGATATACAATCTGCAAAAGCCTTTAAGTCCAATGTTAATTGCTAATCGACATTCCAATAATTTGAAATATTCACTTTTTATTGGGTGTACTGACAGTTTTTTTTTATTTAATAAAATGGATGTTGTCATTACAGAACACTATCAGAACTGTCGGCTGCCTACCACTTTCGTCTTAGATTTCAAAGACACTATATCAGTTTTGTAAGTACATAATTTTAATGGAATTCGATACATTTTAATATACAAAAGTTATGTATAATCATTTCAGGAAGTGTTGATAAATTCTGTGTAACATTTAAACATATTTTAACATTTAATAATATCTATAAACTACATGCAATTTCTATAGCGAATCAGTGTTATATTTAACTTCCAGGTATTTCATGAAACTATGTGAGCCGCGTCATGACAAAACCAACATAATGGGTTTGCGACCAGCATTGATCCAGACCAGCCTGCGCATCCGCGCAGTCTGTTCAGGATCCATGCTGTTCGCTTACAAACCCTATTACAAGTAGAGAAACTGATAGCGAACAGCATAGATCCTGATCAGACTGCGCGGTTGCGCAGACTGGTCTGGATCCATGCTGGTCGCAAACCCATTATGTTGGTTTTGTCGTGACGCGGCTCATGTATGTATTCTTTCCTTAATGAGGTTCGATGTGCCCGTTAAGGCTAAAAACAGCTTTCGTTGTCGAATAGGGACCGGACATGTCACCAGTTATGTCCTTTAGGTGTTAATTTTGAATTAATTATTGTCAGTTCCAAAAAGCTTTAGTTGTAAAGATATTACCGAATTTACATACCGAATTTACATTCCATGTAAATAAAGGGAGTCAATTAGAAATTTATTTTCGAGAAAGTCGAAGCCGAATTTTTCAAAAAGAAATGAATGCATATGTTTAAATGATTACTTATAATGCAGAAGTTCACTTGCAGTACATATTTAATACATTCTAGGATGTTTTAAAGCTGTTTCAGAAGAAGAATTATATACATATATAAAATACCACTTAAGTGTTGTTACATCCTTAATTACAACATACAGGATCTTTAAACAAGTAAAGTTGTAATATAAACATTACTTAATAACAACCTAATCAGTTTTAGCATAAGTGGAAAAAACACTTTGTTACATAACTTTAAAACTACAATGATTATTATCTCCCTTCGTCTAGGCAAATAATTCAAAAGACAAATAAATTATAAATGTTTATCACAGGTTTGGAGTTTTAATGCGTATGAATTGATCACCCATGAAGACCGTAGGCTCGGACAGATATTATTTCTTTATTGGCAAGAAAAACTCTAAGCTTTTTTTTCAAGGGACGAACATTTGCGCTGCCGATTTGGAATAAAAAATAATAGGAAAATAAAAACATGTTTCAAAAAGATGCATGCCTCCAAATAAGCCAAACATTTTCAAGAAAACAAATTTTGAAAAACAGAATTAAGGAACTAACATCCTAAAAAAGTATTAATATTGAATAAATATTGTATGCAATGAATGAGTGATTTTGCCAAATATTTACCAAAATTCTTCAGCGTGTCTAACGCAGTATGAACTTTTTTGCCTATTTTTACCTGTTTTTTTTTAATTTCTAAAGTAATTTAAGTGGGTGCTGTTCGGAATATGTATATAACTTCTTTGTTCACTTGACAATATTATTATCTTTAATACACTTTCATATTTTTCATGAAAATAGGTATTAATCTGGAGCCATGCTGCTGAAAATTAAACATAGTTCAATTAATTGAATGATGACAGAAGATGAGGTCATTTATCTTATATGAACAATAATTTGTTTTGTACACCCTACAGAATATTCAGGCATTCTCAATGGTGATCATTTCAGTTTTTGCGTTGGAGTAAATGTGCAAGGCTGAAAACATAAATGTTACAGGACGTTTCTGTAGTGGCGATATGGCCGAATTCAGAATTCAGCCATGTGGCATCAGAATTCAGCCATGTGGCATTTTTCAATATTCGCTACCACCTTTTTGTTGCTGTTGTTGTTACTAGGCATCTTTAATTGGCTCATGCTCATTTTTTTCTTGGGACAATATGTGTCCATTCAGCAATGAAACAAATAAGTGTACGAAATGAAAGTCCCTTTACGTGTTCAAGTTGTTAACCCAGCCTGAAATGTAAAATGACTTAAAAAATCTGTTTCTTATTTTCAAAATTCCATGGAAATATACATTATTCATATACACCATCTATAATATGTAGCAAAAAGTAACGAAATGCTCTATAATCTGAAATAACATTACGACAAATATTAATGAAACATCCGTTGACAAAATCGAATAGTGTGTGCGTCGAGATTCACACAAAAACTATAATAGACAAAACTTATAACACCACTGAGTGTGGTTTTCATGGTTTTGCATAGATGAGTTCTGTATTTTTACTGTTTACTTTCTTATTTTATTAGTTAAATATCTTAAATTTTAATGTTCACATGTTATGAAAATAGCTCAAAGAAATTTGTCTTTTTATCGTCATTCGTCTGTCTGAATTAAAAAAAATGCTGAAATAGGGGTTTACACAAAAGTTCGAGTCTACTATAAATATTGATAATAATATTTATAATATTCATGGCATCAATGATGTGTCTTTAAAAATGCGACTGTATCGATGTTGATGCATAGAATAAACTAGTTGAACACATAAACCGGAAATCCAAATCTCTTGTAAACAATCGGGAAAATCATGAAGACATAATATTTTATCAAAATAATAAAACATTGGATAAAACGCTTTCTTTTTTATGAACGTCCTAGTCTATTATAAATTTCACAATTATATCATAACAAATACTCGTTTATCCAATGACAAAAAATAGCTTGCACTCGAATAATTCATTTAGTCTCCTCTTGTTCAATATTCTTTATGATATTCATAAGCCAGTAGTGAGAATGTACACTAAATGCTAGAACACTTCTTAAACAGACACGCGCAGCAATTTCCACTTGTTCCGTAACAGACATTATTCTGTGATGACTTTCTTTATGTCAGAATTCATATATAATATATCTTCGCGTACATTGTAAAATGAATCTGTGTGGTCGGAAAATAAGTCCGGTTATTTCACATTTATATGTCATACCTTAATATATTAAAATACATGTCTCGATTACAATATCTACAAAAGTGAACTTTATTTTTCCATGTTATATTTGATTCAACAATGGTGAACTGTAAAGTTGTTGCTATTTTTTTAATTGGTCCTTGTCATATTGTATATAAAAATGGAGAACTGTTATCTAAATAATGAACGAAGAACATATTAAATGATTTGAATTTTTGTATTAACATAATCATTATATGTGGGATGATTCAAAATGAATGCAATATAACTGACGTCTCAAAAAGACCCATACACTGTCAATGCAAAAAAGGCTTACAAATAAACGAGCATTTTATCACTTTATTAAGTTTCAAAGAAATCTATTGTGTACTGGTTGAATTATAGCACCGGTTTTACTCACCAAATATAAATATTGATATATTGATATAAGTAAACCATATGGTCATTGTTAGTTTTTGTTTCAATTTCTTTTTCTTGTGTGTTTAAATTTCTTTCCTCGCCTGGTTAATGAGAGATTTTATTGTAACTTCACGCATATATTAAACTAGAAACTTTGTAAATTCGAAAATGATACACAAAGTCAATAAATTCATGATTTTGCATTGCAACCGTCAACCTTTGTTATGTACTGTTCATCTGTTAAAAAGTCTTTGAAAGAGAACAAAACGGTTACAAATAGTGTGATACTATTTAGTTTGGGATAGCTTTAGAAATCAAGCCTATAACTGCAAAGACTAATGTAGCATTACAAACTATAAGTGACAAACAATATCTTTCAAGATACCGGTACCATAACACTTTTTCATATCGGGATTAAACTCCAAAATGTATGACAGCGGTGATGTGTATATATTTATCCTTACAAGAACACAGTTTCATTTAATCCACACAAATTTATTTAGAAAAGGATGAATCACTGTGACATAACTTAGAAAATGAATACAAAAAAAAGCTTAATTGCAAAACCACGTCCACAAGATATGTAGAGCTGAGAATATGTTGTCGACCAATGATCAGATCAATGTGTGAATAAATAGACGTCCGACAGAATGGAGATGTTTCTTTAAAGAAAAACCTACATCGATGGATCCATTGCTATGCATATGCAGACGAACTGATATTTGAAAGACTAGCTGTATTCATGAATAGTTGTGAATATGCTAACGCTCGACAAAGCTGTAATTGAATACTACATCGATGGTTTGAATTTTGTGAATATGCCAAAGTCTGAAATATCGGTGATTCAAATACTGCATCGATGGATTCATGGAATATGTGAATATGTAAACGTCCGACAAATATTGAAGTACTTCATCGATTGATTATGATCTACGAGAAGCTTTAATATACAAAGTGCTGTTTTAGATGTAGCCCAGTCTTGAATGGCCAATATGTCCGACAAATCACATTTTGAAATACTCCATCGATGAATTGATTCTTCTTGGTTTTCAGAAAATGGAAGTGTCTTGTGTTTTCTTAAAAGAAATACGAAATATAAACTAATTTTGACCCTAGGCATAATAAAATACAAATATAAATTTTACGTTCTTTTCTAAGCGATTCAATGTTTAGAGTTTTCAGTATCAAATGATATAGATCTAACATTAGTATAGATACTGGTCAGACTGCCCGGAAGTACAGGCTGGCCTGTCTCTTTACTGGTGACAAAGTTAAGTTATTTTCGGTGCTAGAAGGTTAACGGTTAATAAAATAATTAATGAATTTTAATAAACAATCAATTTAATAATTTGAGAAGAAAAATTATTCAAAATCTACTTTTTGAATTGACTTAGCAGACTTTGTTATAATATAAAAGAAACAGATAAAAATATGTAAATGTTCTTTAAAATATGAAAAGTATGATAATTACGCTTCTCTTTCCTTCAGAAACTCCGAAACTCTGCGTCGACTGAAGCCATCTGTGTCTCTGTTTTGTAAATGCATCTTTTATCTGCAATTGAAGTCGTTTTACATTAATGTTGTTTTTTTTCAACAAAGGTACGTACTTAGCTAACCACGGTTTGGTTTTAAGACCCACCAAAATAAGTAAGCTATCCACATTTTAATTTAGGATTAATAATTTAAAGAATTTTGAAATCTCATTTTTATTTTATATAAATAATGTTTTGAACTCACTTCATCAAGTCATAATGCAAGAAGATACAATTTATTGGATTAGCTTTTTAACTGTTTCGTGGCAGTGCGATGATTAATGTGGTCAGGTCGCTCCACTGAGAGCAATAACATTATAAACGAAGATGGTAACAGTATAGCTATAATGAAAGGAGAAAAAAGATCGCTTAACACCTAGGAATCGTCTTGTTACATCACTTGTTAGCGCGCCAAGTCAATATGCTATCACGTATGATTCATTATAGCAGTTAAAATGATGTTTTAGATATTTAAAGTGTTCAGTGTGTCTTGCGGTTTGAAACTTAAAAGGAACAAAAATGATACAACCAAGATTGCAAAATTCAGTCATGATACCAATTTTAGCAAATAAATAGAAACGGTTACCTTTTTGTCCAACACGCAGTGAAATATGAAGATCAGCAGTCCCTGTAAATCATATTCTTTTTATAATTTTTTCATAAATACATAATGGAAATAAATAATTTAAAACCTGAATACGTTTGATAATGGTGGCATCGTTATACTATTAAACACATACATTTAGGAAAACATGTGTTTTATAGTCAAGTGTCCGAAAACAGAACACATATAAATAAGGAAGTACATTTTTACCAAATACACATGTATTTCTGCTCACACATTCCTAAAAAACATGAAGAGCGTCTTCAATTTAAATGCTTGGTTTGGTGTTTGTTCTTAACTAGAGGGGCGTCCGTGGCCGAGTGGTTAAGGTCTTTGACTTCAAACCACTTGCCCCTCATCGCTGTGGGTTCGAATCCCGACAGGGTCTTTGAATTCTTTCATGTGAGGAAGCACTCTAGCTAGCTTACGGAACGTCGATGGTTCTACTCAGGTGCCCGTTCGTGCCTGAAATAATGCACGGAAGGGCACCTGAGGTCTTCCTCCACCTGTAAAGCTGGAACGTCGCGATATGACCTATACTGTGTCGATGTGACGTAAAACCCAATCAAACAATCTTAACTAGAGTGTTCTACTTTTTTTTGGATTTAGCTAGGTCAAGATCACTGGAGGCGCGGGTTCGCCTTGCTTGATCCGCGTTAGTAAAATAAATGAAAGCAAATACAAGTACAAGATCAAAGTATTCTTCCAATGATCCTTAATTATTCCGTTTCTTGATTAAAACATATATATACATAACTAAATCATAAATATGACTAAAATGACATTTTATTTATCACATTCGTTCATAATAATCGTCTTTCTGTCAGGTTGTATTTGTGCATTTAATACATGAAATAAATATAGCAAAAATATTCAAATAATAAACTTACTATTCGTATGATAAAAGATAAGAATCAGACCACGTTAATATATTTGTGCTTTTAACTTTTAGAAAACATTTAGCTCATTGATCCGTAAAGAGCAATGATCAAAATTAACGGGGCACCGGCTGAACATCGTGAAACAAAAGTGTTGCCACCAGTTAAAGTCTGGACATATTACATATTCAGATTTGCTGATTGTAGATCTTTTTTACAATTTGACATAGTTCTTGAAACTTTGACTAGATTGTTCCAAACTATGTTTTAGTTATCCCATTTCACGAATTATGAAGGTTAAAAGTCAATAAATGGAGAGCACTTGTTCATTATTTACATTTAAATGATGTATTTTAATGAAATATATCAAAAGGATTTAAAATAATTGTTGTATACCTGGAAACTGTTAAGAATAGCGAATATGTACTGGAAAGCAATTGTGTCACTATTCAAAGATAGTACTCCAAACCCCCAGGTCAGACCCATCAACGGCATGAGCACCAATATGCAACGTAATGCTGCCATGAAATGATATGATATACGGTGTTATATTAACATAAGTAGTCATAAATTAAAATATTAAAGTACTGATGGAAAACGGTCTTGTTTTTGGTCCAACCATTATGAGATGGCGATTCAAAAAGACGATGTTTTGTCTCCAAAAACATTACACAGATTTAGCTTACGTAGAATGTTTCCAACTTAATCTCATTTATCATCAGAATATGTTGCTTAAATTTGCAAAAGTCAATAGTATGTGTATAAGTGAGTGTTCGTCAATATAAATATTTATTTATTTACGATCGTTGTTATACAAGTGTCATAAGAAGTATGTAGCAGATGAAAAAATGTGGGATGCCCGTTGTCAAGCGATCATTAACAGTGGATTGCATAACAATCCGCATATGTTTCGGCTTCTTTATAATTCGAATTTCCCGAGAAAGCCTTTTTAGCCATGCAATCAAACAGGTTTTTACAGATGTATCAAATACTGTCATACGTTGAAGTTAAACAAATTGTTGATTTTGAATAGAATAAAAAATTTGAAGTAATTCTTAACAAATTAACTCGAAATAAAGAGTCAATTTTTAATGGGCAAGATTGTTTTGCCAGCTTACCTTTCATCTATATGGACAACGCCATGTTTGTTCTCGAAATCGTACCTACTCAGTATTGGTTTTTCATTAAACAAACGTAGCGTAAAGTAGCGTTACTGCAGTACACTATAAGCGCGTCAATGAACTGAAGATTTTTATACTGTAAACAGTTCTTTATATTATGTTATCATTAGAATATTATATTCGTGTAACTTCATTAGTAAATTTCTTGAATACGTTGAATAAAATTATATCATGCGAGCTTCGCAAGATTTAATAAATCAGTATTGAAACCATCTATATATTGAATATGCAAGACGCTGTACTCGTATTTTATTCAACGTATTCAAGAAATTAACTAATGAAGTTTCACGAATATAATATTCTAATGATAAATTCCCAAAACGAACTGTTTACAGTATAAAAATTTTCAGTTCATTGACGCGCTTATAGTGTACTGCAGTAACGCTACTTTACGCTATGTTTGTTTTATGCAAATGATGTCACGTCAAAATTATATACACGGCCGAGCAATACCGTTTTAACTCAGTCACAAAAGCGGCACAGGTATGTGATTAACAGTGATAGTCAATACTTTGAAACTTTGAAATTCCAGTGAACTGACTGACCGAAACAAGTACAATCTGATTAAAATCAGCTCATGACACTACGCATAATGATGATCTTCCAAACAACCAGCCATTGGCGAGCTTTCATTATTTTGAAAGCGATACGGCTTCTTATTTTAACCCTTGGAAAACCAATACTGAGTAGGTAAATTTCACGATTTCGAGAACAAACATGGCGTTGTCCATATAGATGAAAGGTAAGCTGGCAAAACAATCTTGCCCATTAAAAATTGACTCTTTATTTCGAGTTAATTTGTTAAGAATTACTTCAAATTTTTTATTCTATTCAAAATCAACAATTTGTTTAACTTCAACGTATAACAGTATTTGATACATCTGTAAAAACCTGTTTGATTGCATGGCTAAAAAGGCTTTCTCGGGAAATTCGAATTATAAAGAAGCCGAAACATATACGGTGGTCATCAGATCTACATGGAAGATATAAGTAGAACTTCTTCAGTCAGATTGGAATTAAGTACTACGCTATATATAATGTATTAAATATTCGTTGTATTTTTGATAATCGTTTCTGATTATCTGAGTTTTATGACATACCCGAACCGTTTTTGCGAATTCATGAAAATGTTATTGCACGACAGTGCATATACTTTGACATGACTCCATTTACGTTATACAAACAATACAGCAAGTTTGTAACGTCGTTTTTCACTGAATATTAGTGATGTTTATATAATCTATATACACGGCTGCAGTCGATTTATGAATGATTTCCCCTTTTTTCTCTTATAAGGAATGTTTGCAGTATTATAAATTCGTTACGAAGATACTGAAAAGGCTCGGTTCGAGTTATATATATACTTAAGGACAATGAAAACGCACGCCCGCACTATATCATTTTATTACATGAAAACAAAACACTAACGAATCCATTAGATATATATTATAGATTTAATACAAACCGCAAACTTAACAACTGAAAATAATTCAAAATGTTTAAAATCAAATGTACAACAGTAAATCGAAGAACCTGAGGTGAAAATCCCAAAATCACACTTTTTCATTACAGTAATGCAAACTTAACAAAGGCAAAAACCAAAATAAAAATCCAAAACAAAGTCGCTCATAAATGTCTATTCGTAATGTCACCGTCGAGATCTTTTGAAACAACAATTTCCTCCAATGTCGTCGCCTCATAGACCTTACGGTGCGGACAGTCGCCTGTGGAAACTGACGCCATTCGGACCGTAGTTTAGTGCGAAAACGCTGGTGAAAACGAGAAATTGTGTCGACTGATGGACACCAAAACGGTTGGCGCTTTGTTTGTAAGATAAACCAGACTGAATCTGTCCTAGATCTACTCCAGGCGGTTATTTCTTTGTAGAAACATTGCATACAATTTACTAGCAAGTCTCCAGTAGTGTTTGATATTATTTAGCACCTTCTATAGAGGGAAAAAGTGTGTATATGCAGATGTCTCTATGTGAGCTTCCACGGTTTCTAAAACTGACCATTGGCATAGTTTAATATTCATTTCCATTAAGATTTTAATTGCTCATTTGTGTCCTAACATTTTCTAGGAAAGGTGTGCAAAACAAGTTAATAATCAACAGTTTTTAAAAAAAATAAATAATTTCATTTTTATAAAGTAACCATGAATTGGTTCATTTTGTTTTCCGTTGTGATCTTTATCACAATTAGTCAAAAGTGTTACTTTTGATTTTGCGGGTACTGTTCTTCTTTATGCAATAACTTCATTAAAAATACAATCATTTTTCATAACTTTGGTATCGAAATGACCGGAATGCATTCGGTTTTATGAAACTGTGAACAAATATTTAAAAGAAATATATTTTCCTTGTTAAAATGCAATTATCCCGACCGTGCGTTTTCATTGTCCTTAAGTATACAAACAACCGTTTATATAGGACCATATAAATGGTCCAAAAATCTTCGCTATATGCGCGTCAATAAAAAAAGATTAATTCACTGTAAACAGTCTTTTTTGGTATGTGATGAAAAGAATATTATATTCGTGTAGGTTTATTACTGACATTATTGAGGTCCTTTTAAATAAAATGATATTACATAAAAATTTCAACTTGTTCAATAAATTCAGTATTGAATCTAGACTCATTCAGTATCCTCTATTTGGAACAATTTGTACCTCCTATTCAGTATGAATGATATTAGTAACTCGTGCCTCTTGTATATTACCGTACTTATTTTGATATGCGGTCATGATATAAGTGCTAACTTCAAGGGTAAACTAGTCACAAGTTTTAACACTGCAAGTGTATGCAGACCGAGTAATTCAATAAAGTGGATAAAAAGCTTACAATCTAAAATAAACTTAACTTATATTTAATGAAATATGCTCTAACATAAGCAAGCAACCGATCGCTTACTTAATCAATAATATTCTTAATTCTGATAAGATTTAAAGGGACTTCAGTGAGTTTTTTTCACATGACTGGACTGAAAATAATTTTTCGAGCTCATGTAGATCTTGACCAAAAGTATGTGTTATTTAGTGTGATAATTTTGTTTGAATGATGTTTTGTATAAGATATTTTGAATGAGCAGAATTTATTTTGTTGTATAAGGTATTTTCATTTAACTGATATATATATGCAAATAAATATATCTATCTGCCTAAACTTGTGTGCAGAATTTCTGATCCTTACCTACTCCTTTTTCGTGACCTAACAGTTCTCACTGTGAAAAGACTGAAATGAAAGAGAAAAGAACAATATGCAATTTTCAAAATGACGACTGGGTATATTTCTCTTCTTCTTTGCATATCGCTTCTGTACCTAGCTGATCTATGTAAGAAATTCAAAGATTTATGCTTTTAGATTTTGGAACCTCATTGGCTGTCTTTAATGATGTAGATAGATTAACAAATTTATTTGATAAAATAGCTTTTTTGCTTGGAAAGGGGAGAGTTACCACTTAATCGTATTTTTAATAAAATGAGTCATTATATGTCAAACATCAGCTAGACAACCTTCCTCAATGGATAAGGTTACGTCTAGATTGAAGTCGATTACAATGGCTTCTATCATGATAGAAGTTATAATAGAATATGAAATACACGTTTTACCTTAAAAGTTTAAATGAAAGTATTTTATAAAGTTTCGTTTTACATGGGTAGCAGGTTTGGTAAAATTCTCTTATCAAAGTTCGGAATTATTACAAGCTTACGTGGTGCACTTTCGGTTAAAACATGTTTAAAACGGGTACGCATGATGACCTCAAAGATAACATCAGGCCATGACAAACTAGTATAATCAATGAGAGTATAATTCACAAAGACATTTGAAAATCATTGGAACACACATTTCGGTAGCTTTAAATCTAGTGATCTTTTGGTTTTGAATGATGGCGGTAATGGTGCAATCTACGAATATACCTAACATTCTATTGAACGGCTATTTTATTTTAATTTAACTCTCGGTAATTATTGTTTTATGGAAAAGAATGGATTCAAATGATGCGTTATTGTGCTATACTATTTAACCTAATTTAAATGAAGAAAGAGTGTAATAGCATTTCAAAATCACAAGAACATTGCCGGATTATTTAACTCTATTATCTTACAAGCTGAACAAATAATTTGAAGTTATCTTTTTACATGTATGTAGATGGTAAATGAATAGATACTTACTTTGGTACGAGTTAAATCATACATTCAATGGATATTGTTTAGATGTCGACATTAGTGTCAAATGTCATTACCAATCGATTTATTGGTAAAAATCAATCAAACTTTATAGCCAGTGGTAATTAATTTAAGCATGCTCTAAAGCCATCTATAGTTGAAGTGTCTGAAGCATTCAAAATATAATGGCGGCTTTATTTAAAGTTCGTTACGAACATATTACGTTAATATTTGGAGCTTATAGTTCTGTCATCTTGATAATACTAACTGTAGTAACAACGTCTACATCACAACCATTTACACAACCGTTTATAGAGAATATGACAGACAACCTAACAGGTAATGATATAATATATCTTTCTTTAGTTCACTATCTCTAAACTAACGTATAAAATATTTTTTACAAAAGAAAGTTATTACAAAATGTACGTACATATATATGCAGTTTGTCATTTCAGTTGTATTGTATTCTTTAGATGTATATATTTTGAATACCCGTCGTTTTCGGCTTTGAGTGCTCATTATTATCTTGCACAAACTCAAAAATTAGTATTTATGGGAAGTACGTGCATCGCGTGCATACTCTGAATAAAATAATATATTAAACTGCTGCTGTTGTACTGCTGTGCTACTGCTACTGTCAACTTCACGTTTTAAAATTTTGCTACTGCTACTGGTGTGCTACTGCGACTGCCAATTTCACGTTTCATAATTTTGTTACTGCTGCTGTTGTGCTACTGCTACTGCCAACTTCACGTTTTTATTTGTTTGGGTCGTCAGACAAAACAAATAATGGTAGCGAAATTTCAGACCAAGCTTTTGTATTATCTGGACAGAAGTTTATTATATGTTATGTACACTTTATTACTGACAATCACAGAGAAAAAAATAAATTATAAAAAAAAGAAATTTCAGACTTTGCAAAATCCGCAAGTAGTCCGTCACGAACTCCTCGAAGCGGTTACTTCCCTTATAAGTACACTAACGCCAAAAATTAGGGAGGGATCACTGCGTAAAAAAATTGTCAGTTGACAGGCGCATTAATTTTCAAACCTTCTCAGGGAAGAAAAATAGTTCCCGATTGTTCGAAGATTTCTAATATTGTGTAATTCTTTAACATTTCCACAAATTACCGGTAATATATTCAAATAATGTTAATATATAGTTAATAAATAATTTAGTTCCGCCCATTGTTTTTCTCGTTTAAGGGCACATCCTTTTTATAACATGGGGACCATACGCCGCTTTTCATGGAATGGAACTACTGTGTCATATTGAAGGTTCAATGATGACCGCCGTATGAACACATCTGCGGATGATTCTAAATTCATGTTTAAATGTTGAATTCTGCTTGACAGTACCGTCCATAAACAGGCTTAATCAAACCGAGCCTGCAACATTTAAATTCTGTCGTATTGTGTTTCTTAGGGGATTCTTTTTCTCTAATTATATTTCATACTGTGCATAAATCGTGTAATATTGCAACTGTTTTACAAAGGAAGTGTGAACCGTTTTAGAATTCTTCGTTTAGGAGAAGGACATACTTATATTAGAGATAAGTAGACTATGGAACTCGGGAAGTATGGGGGTACAAATAAACCTTTACAGTGACAACTTGGTAAACACTTAGTAGTGCGCTGTACAATTATAATGGTAAAATTTTGTTAAGATGTCGAGTTTCGGGCAACATCTATTGCTTTTTATTTAATGAAACGGAAGCATTAAAATGAGGCTGGTCCAGTTATCATTGTCTCTTGGACGCTTCTGAAGATAGGTGGAAATTTGTAGTGACCATGATCATCCATGAAAAGGTTCTGTTAAATTGTTACCATTTTGTAATGAAGAGAGACCTTTCTTCACATTGGCCTTATTAACTGATAAAAATTCAACATAAAAGTAACATCAAAGTAAGTTCTTGTGAATGATTTTAAACTGCTAAAACATTCTATGACTATGCATACGGTGAAAAGAAATGAATGAAGAAAGATAAGATCAGCTATATATCCTCTCCCTGTACATGTATAAGAACTTAACATCTATATGTTTCATACTTAGATGTAATTGTTGATTTTTAAGTGTTTGTTTGTTATGCTTTGTAAAAAAGTATAAAGTAAACAAACGATAAATACTCACGCACCGTTTAGCTTATGGTTCTTCGCAACATGAAAATATTTACTTTATTATTTGCTTTTAGTTTATATATTATATTATTTAATTCTGAGAATGCACGTGATGCACGTACTTAATAATTATATGCTGAATATTATTGTTTTGATTTCCAATAAACGAAATTAATGAAACATTAATTATAAACAGTCTAGGTTTGCTACTTTATACTAAAAATATATTTGTATACATGGACTTTTTGAAATAAGGGCGCTTTTATAGATCGTATATAGTAAACTTTAAAAAAATGTATAACATTAAAAGAAAGATATAAAAAACTTTATATTCAAGTGAATATTGAAGAAATGTGATTTTAAGTCGTATCTAAGCATAGAAAAAATATATAAACTTATTGTTGTTGTTGTTGCACAAAATCACAGACCTACTCTATTTACTATCATTGCATTAGCGTAATATAAACATGGCGTAGAAATCGCGCTTTAAATGTTTCACTATCGGCGTGTCGGAGCGGATTGCTACGATGCTCCGTTAGGGCCAGCGCGTTTTCTCTGAGAACAAAAATCGAGAAACATGACTGTACGATGGTGCCAGTGCGACAGTACGATGGTGACAATACCACAGTACGATCGCAAAGCACGACAGCTCGATGGTGACAGTCCGTCGTACTATCGTATCGTCACCATCGCACTGTCGTACTGTCACGATCGTATTGTCGTATTGTCACCATCGTACTGTCGTACTGTCACGATCGTACTGTCGTATTGTCCTCATCGGACTGTCGTTCTGTCTCCTTCCTGTTAGGCATGCGTATAATTAAATAAAAAAACATGGAAGAAAACGTTGACCGTGTCATAAAGTCTTATTTTAACAATGGCCTATCATACATGTTAATTCTTGTATTGATGAGGGTAGTTTGAAATTGAAGTTGATAAAAATAATCCAGGTTCTTTGAAGAAAATACTATGTTTTACAAATGAGTCATAGATTATTCCTTTCTGTTGATATACAAATTATAAAGACACATGTGTACATTTTTTATCATAATTTCAAAGCTCTTTATTTAAGTAGATATCTCTTGATTCTGTTAACTTTCGATTTCCTTCATAGTTGATCTTTGATAAACTTTCGATTTCCTTCATAGTTGATCTTTGATAAACTAAAGATTAGTTTAGCAAAGAATTGTTTATAAAACGCCGGTTTAAGTTTCGCAAGCCATGTTTAGTGAAATGTTTGCCCATGCTTGACAGCAAAGCGACAGTACGATGGTGATAATACGACAATACGATGGTGACAGTACGATAGTGACAATACGACAGTACGATGGACTGTCACAATCGTTCTGTCGTGTTTCTCCATCGCACTGTTTTCGGCCGCGACTTTTTTAAAGGTACATTTCCCGCATAAAACGTCGATGCTTTCGGCTCAAACTCGACTTTTTGCAATGTATGCATCAAAACAAAATATCGCGGATTAAAATGGCCACAAAAGAAAGTATTGAAACAAAACAATGAAGATTACTTGACATGAACTATTATGAAAGAACCTTGAAGGGACTTTACTGATGTTACTTGACATAAAAGTATTTGAAGTATATTTTCATGTACCATGTACCATTTTAGAGATCATTCGCCAGAAAAGTTATTTTTAATGCAGAAGAAGACCCTTCAATGATAAGCGAAAAGGGCTATGATAAACACAAAATACGATTTTGAATATCCTTAAAAGTATAATTCATTATTGACTTCTGTACATCAATCCGTTTTAAATGTACCAGTTGTACCAGTTATTATTAATAGGACTCGGCCCGGTGAATTTTCGTATTCTTTGTTCTATAGTTAATCAGTCACATTTGAGGCTTAATTCTGGATTCCACTGTTCTTGATGAATTATATACTGTCTTAACTTTAAACATTAACACTATTTAAGTTGAATTAGGCCCAAAATAATAGGTTAGCCATCTACTTTTTCAGAAATCTTCTTTCTGTTGTAACACTGTTTAAATTCACCCCTTTAAAAACTCCTGACTGCTGTTGGGTAGTACATCTTTAATCCTTCCGCCAACAAATGTGTTCCAGGAGAATACACAAAAAACAACTTTCAAAGTCATCATACAACACACAAGAACTACACACATGCAATTAATACACTTTAATTATGACCAATCTTACTAGAGATGACTTAAATTGGGCCACTTCAAAACTTTAAAGAACTACTTTCTAGACTACAACGGATGGGGTCTAATTCCGTACCGGGTTGAGACCTAAATGAATCCAAAATTTAAGTAACACTCATTTCCTAGTAATTTAGTGTAATACAAGTACAATCATATAGGTTTGACATGTCTCTCACAAATTACATTAATGCAGTACAATTTCTTAAATATGAACCTTCATGCAAAAAATCAGGCTCGGCCAATAGAATTTTGTGCAAAAATTTATATTATATCTTTTGATTCTGTCAATGGATTTTCTTCGAAACTAAAGTTTAATGTTCCCGCTAATGTCATTTAATTATTTTTATGAAAGAATAAGACCTTATTGCTCTAAACTTGTAAAAGAAACTCCATTTCTTTTAATGAGAGCATGAAATTTTGGGTTAAAATACAAGTAATCACAATTAAATGAAATTGTGCTTTTTTAATAACCTTTTCTTTCAATATTGTAATAAAACTTACTGATTATGATTTTTACCTATATACCATGATAAATAAAGTAAAGTACCAAGATATATACCCTACATTGTTTGCTTAAGATATCAATAAAGACAAACAGAGGCAATCTTTAGTTTAGCAAAGAGGTTACCATATCGCCATGGGCTATGTCACCTGACAAAGTAAGATTAGCCAACTCTCACACAAATAAGGCTTAAAAACGATGGCAATACTGTATCCCACTTTAAATCATTGAAAAGTCTTAATATAGTCAGAATTAGAGACATTTTTTCCTGATATAAATCAAAATATCTATCAAATATTACCCGAGCATTAGAAGTCGTTACCGTTAATAGCTGAAGTTTCAAACTAGACATAAGTTGTTACCTTCTCAACGTGTCCTAGCAATACTGCTGCCAAACTGAGCTGAAGGAGTTCTTCCATAGATCTTTACCAGGATAAGGTATGGTCCTGTACTCAAACACAGGCTTGGTAACTGCACGGTCTGAAAAAAATATGCAACACTAGTACATGTCGAAGAAAATTATAAGAGGCATTTATG